AAAAAAAGACTCAGTTATTACAATTCTTAAAGGTTGTAGGTGAATTTTGCCCTTGGTTTTGTGACCAAGATTCGCCAAATTTACATACTTGGGAGAAATTAGGGAGGAAATTACAAAAAATTTGCCTTTCTAATGAATTACCTGGAGGCATCSAAAATATTCAAAAAATTTGGATGGCCTTAGAAATTTATCTTTTGAATACATGGGCCATAGTTTGTGGCCCCCTGAAGATCTATTGAAAGGCATTCAGAGAGCTATTAAGTCTATTCAAATGGAAAATCTGCCTGAGGCTAAGTTAATTTCTTTTCTCTTGAGCCATTTAAAAAAAAAGGAAAGCTCTCAGGGCTAAACCAAAAGTTTGAGTTTGCAGGAACAAGATCAGGAGAGCCTGGAGGAAGATTGTAGAAGTCAGGGTCATAGAGAGGAAACATCCACAGTCATAGAGAGTCCTCTGGAAGAGATAGACAATCCTCCCAGAGAGGAAAATCTGGAAGTAATTCTTACAGAGGCACAAAGCCCTTCTCCACCCCTGGGTTCAATCCCTGGTACCAAAAAAAAAAGAAAAAAAAAGTGAGTCAGTACAATAAAATACTTTGAGACAAAGACCAAACTCAACCTAACTTTTATTACAGTATGTTATTATAATTCTTCTATTTTACTCTAAGTTATTTTGGTTAATCTCTTGCTGTGCCTAACTTATCAAACTTTTTCATACAGATATTCCTATAGGAAAAAACATAGTATCTATAGGGGTCAGTACTATCCAAAGTGTCAGGGGTCACTGGGCAGGTTGGGAGGCATCCCTCATGGATGAGAGGACAGTTGTATGTAAATTTCACAGCTGCAATATCTTAAGAATGTCACAATGGCATCAGCAGGAGTTTTGAAGGGGACAACATTCAAACCACAGGACCTGGGTCTGGCTCTCTTCATGCCCCTGGCRCATCCCTTTTACAGAMACGGCCSTCTTACAGAATGAGGTGAGGACTGGGGAGAAATGAGGTGACATCATTCCTGCAAAGCTAAGCAAASCCCTCCCAGACCCTGGCCCTGGCATCTGAGTCTTCCTGCTTTGACTCATGAAGAAGGGACAGAGAAACATGATGTTTTTCAAGGATAGAACCTGCTTTACTGACATTGGACAGGTGCCACCATAGCCTTTCCTGACCCAGGACCTTGCTTCTGCTGTGAGGGGTCATCTCACAGAATGAGGACCCAGGGCTTCCCGGTCAGGGGCAATACAAGCTCTACACAGAGACACTCACTGAGTGCTTGAGGCAGGAGATAGAAATGGGAACCACCCCAGATTAAAACCCTAGCTAAAGCTTGTTGGAGGGAGGTTTTATTCTGTTTTGGTTCGGTTTGGTGTGGTGGGGTGTGATTTTGGGTTTTAGTCACCTGAACAAAATGGGGAGAGCCTCACTCAAACTGGARGCCCAGACATTGTATTATTGCCCCAGGCTTCTTGACCCCCATGACATTAGTCAACCCCAGTCATTCTGAACCTCAGAAATTMATTTGTTTTAAGGAAC